GAGAGGGAGAGGGAGAGGGAGAGGGAGAGGGAGAGGGAGAGGGAGAGGGAGAGGGAGAGGGAGAGGGAGAGGGAGAGGGAGAGGGAGAGGGAGAGGGAGAGGGAGAGGGAGAGGGAGAGGGAGAGGGAGAGGGAGAGGGAGAGGGAGAGGGAGAGGGAGAGGGAGAGGGAGAGGGAGAGGGAGAGGGAGAGGGAGAGGGAGAGGGAGAGAGAAGAGAAAGATCCATACATGCCCCAACTGGCGATCAAACCCACAACCTAGGTAAGTGCCCTGACAGGGAATTGAACCCGCAGCCTTTTGATGTGCAGGGCGGCACTCCAACCAACTGAGCCACCTGCCCAGGGCTTTTTCCCTTTTGATTAGAGTTTGCAAATATAACTGGCAGCTAGTTACTCTGGTGAGGCTATGAGTCAGTCCTCCTCCAAGTAATATAAACTTCCTAATTTAGTCTTTGGTCTATAAATCTACAGTAACACTGCCAGTGTTTTGATGTTATCAGTATCTTTATCTTCCTTTGCTCCACACTATCATAGATTTTATCTTTTCATTGCCTACTGTAATTTGTTGCTGGAAAAACAGTTGCCAGTAAGTAATATGCTGAAAGATGATGATTATCTGAAAGGATGGGGGTAAGATCCCCATGATGTAATGTGTGTATGAGCAAATAAAGGAATATGTGTGCCATGTTCATGCAAATAATATGACAGGTCTGAGGGCAATCCTGTGACCTGCTGGAGGTCAAGCATTGTGTATGTTCATTGTTACATCACTAGTATTTAACACTGTCCCAAAACGTAGAAAATATTTAAGCAGCATTTGCTGTATTAATAAATGAAGAATTCTAGTGCTCCATGTTCCCACTGGCAAAACAAGGCTTCCGGTTTAAAAATGAGGTTGGAAGGTCCATCTACAACAATCTGCTATGCATTTAGTGTTTATGGGAGATTTCTATGTATACAGCATCATGCTAGGAGTTGTGAGAAAGGCAAGGAAATTGAATACAGGGAGGGAGGGCTGGAGGCCTGGGTGAAAGAGGTGAAGGGATTAAGAAGTACAAATTGGTAGCTACAAAACAGTCCCGAGGATGTACTAGTAAAGTAAAGAATAGGGAATATAGTTCATAAAATTGCGATAACTCTGTATGGTGCCAGTTGGGGTACTGGAAATATCGAGGGAACACTATATGAAGTATATGACTGTCTAACCACTAAGCTGTACACCTGAAACCAATACAAAATAAATTTAAAAGGAAAAAAATAAGACTGACAAATCTTTCAGAAAAAAAATAATAAAGAAAATTGAATACACAGAACTTGGACTTGGTGTGTCCGGTCTAGTGGAGGCGACAAGATATATACAAGTGAAAAGTTAACTCCTAATTCTAGAGTGAATAATGACATGCCAAAGGTAATTTTTCATACCAAATACAACCACTACATGATTTCAGAGAAGAGAGAGGCTGCTGAGGACTGGAGTCATTAAAGAAAGCTACATAAACAAGGCAGGGATTGAGTTAGACCTTTTAGAATAAAAGAGGGGAAGAGAAGGAAATCGCAGTCTGGAGGGGGAAGGCTGGAGAGTACAAATGAACAGTCATCAAGATAAGAATAGATAGTTTGAGACTTAAAATGAAGGAAGCAGTCATTAGACTTGGAAAAATAGAGATGATGACAGAAACATATAGAATAAGGAAGTAGCTAAGTATGTGCATTTTGTATGATAATCATTTCATACCTAAACTCCTTGGTGAAAAAAAAAGTAACTTTGAAACTTATATACATTCTATATGTTGCAAACTTGGGCAAAATAGGTGGGATGTCAGAGGACCAGGAGGCTGCATTCCCAGAGGCTAGTGAGTAGCAGGCATACATGCCTAACTGGGAGGGAGCTGATGTACCACTCGAAGGGGCTGCACAGGTAGAGTGAGGGCCTTGCATAAGTCTTTTGACAAAGGATGCTGTGTGGAAAGGGTGTATGATTGCAACATAGATTTGACTTTCCCCAAATCTTACGTGACCTGATGCACTTGTGTAGCTATTCATTGATTATATCAATTTTCATTTATCTGATATATTTAAGGATACAGAAGGGTCAAGGCTGTGTGTACACCTGTTCTGCAAACCAGAACCAGATACTTAAAGACAAAGTTTGAAATTTAGCCTTTCAGATACACACATCAATAAAATCAAGGATAAGGATAAGAGACCAAAGGAGAAGCCATAATTGACAGATATTTAAAAATAAATGGGGATCCTTATTTTCTAACCATGTCTAGAAATGGATGTAAGAAATCTTTATTAACGTTAATTATAGCAATGTAGATAAACCACCTGTATATCGTGTTTGTGTGTGAGAGTATGTAGAACAGAATGAGCAAAAAATTTTGTTAAAGCTTTTAAGAAATACTTTGAAAGTTACTTACATGGATCCTTTAAAACTCCCATTCAGTAATGGAATACTGATTAAATGAAAAATTAACTCTTGAGAATGTCTCCTAAGTAAAGTATATCTATGCATGGATCTACTACTATGATGCTTTAACGAATGTTAATTATAGCCTTTTGATGTCTGTACTGCGTGGCTCTAAAAAGCTAATAAGACCTGCACTACATCATAGTTAATAGAAGTGTGGTGCTTGTTGCTTAGGCAACAGGATGAATAAATGCAGGTCAGGATGTGCTTCAAGAAAAACAAAAGCTCGACTATGATACCGAGTAGAGAC